GATTTCTCGCTTTCTGTCTCTCTGTCTGTCTCTGTCTGTCTGGCGAGCACACGTGCCCTATAGCAAAAACCTCTCTGGGGAAAAACAAAAACAAAAACAAAAAACTAGAGAGTGACAGAGATAAAGGGACGATGAGAAAGCAAGTGGCCAGGTCTGGGACCCAAACCATGGTCAGCCATGTGGGAGTCCAGTGCCTTAGCCACTGTATCACCTGCTGCACCCTTCCCTCCCCCCCCCTTTTTTTTTAAGAATTATTCATTTAACTTTGTTTATTTATCATTATTCTATTTATTTATTTATTTATTTATTTATTTATTGGAGAGGTTTTTGCTATAGGGCGCGTGTGCTCGCCAGACAGACAGAGACAGAGAGACAGAAAGCAGGAAATCATCCCCCGGGGGGGTGGCCACGCCACAATCCCTTCTCCATTCTCCTCTCGGGATCTTGGGCACGCACACGCACGTGCCCGGCATGAGTTTAAGCCACCGGGTCCAGGACTCGAACCACGGTCGACTACGTGGGAGTCCAGCGACATAGCCATTACGCTAACTGCTGGTCCCAGTCATTATTCAATTTAATGAGCAATAGAGAGGAAGCAAGCTGCCAGGTCCAGGACTCAAACTGTTGTCGGCCATGTGGGAATCCATTGCTTTAACCACTACATCACCTGCTGGCTCCCCACCCCCGTTTTTAAAGTTATTGGTGTAGGGACATGTGTGCTTGCCAGAGAGAGAAGAGAAAGTGAGAAATCACACCCCCCCCCCCCCAGGGAAGTGAGAAATCACCCCCCCCCCCCCAGGGGAGGTGGCTGTGCCTGAGCCTTCTCTATTCTCCTGGGATTTGGGACACACACACACACACACACACACACACACACACACACACACACGGGCCTGGTGTGACTTTCTTTCTTGCTCTTTGTTTTTAAAGAATTATTTTATTTATTTATTTTAATTTGACCAGAGAGGGACAGAGCAAGAGAGAGGGACAGAGCAAGAGAGAGAGAACGAGGAAAAGTGTGAGAGCAAGCTGCCAGGTCTGGGACTCGAACCACAGTCAGCCATGTGGGAGTCCAGCGCCCTTAACCATCACGCCATCTGCTTTCCCTGAGCCTGGAGTGTTTTTCAAGCCACTGGGTCCAGGACTTGAATCGCGCAGCCGACCCTGTGGGATCCAGTCACCCTAACCTCCATGTCATCTGCTGACCCTATGTGAATGTTTTAGTGACGTTATTTATAATCGCCTGCAAGTCGAAACACCTGTCACATCTATCGAGTGATGAATGGATATCAAATATGGGCCACCCAGACAGTGGAATAATATTTAGCAAGAAAAAGCAAAGGCAAGGAATGAAGTATTGATTAACGCTATCTTGAGGACATCATAGTTGAAAGAGGCCATTCGCAGAAGACTACGCTTATACGAAGTGTTTAGAAGATGTAAATAGTTCATGGGAAGTCGGTCTGTGCTTACCAGGAGCCGGACGAGAGGGGACGAGGTTTGTGAGTGCTGAAGGATACGGGGTTCCTTTTTGAGGAGTTAAACTTTTCTGAAATTAGATCGTGGGGACGGATGACAACTCTGAACATACTAAAAACCTATTTATTACATGCTTTAAATGAGTGAGTGTGACCTTTATCCCTTTAAAGCTGTTAAAAAAATGATGTCAGGGTAAAAATAAGGTATATCTTCTGTGGCATGTCAGCAGAATGAGTTTGAGTGTTTTTAGAACTCTTCCGTTACGGGGGCTGGCAGGTGGCATGGTGGTTAAGGCGCTGGACTCCCACATGGCCGACCTGGGGTTCAGACCTCTCTCGCTTTCCCCTTCTCTGTCTCTTTCTGGTCAAATTAAAAAACAATAATAATATGGGACCAGCAGTTGGCGTAATGGCTGTCACTCAACTACCATGTAGTCGACCTTGGTTTGAGTCCCGGACCTGGTGGCTTAAACTCATACCGGGCGCGTGTGCGTGCGTGCCCAAGATTCTGAGAGGAGAATGAAGGAGAAGGGATTGCGGCGTGGCCAATCCCCCGGGGGGTGATTTCTCACTTTCCAGTTCTCTCTTTCTGGTGAGCACACGTGCCCTATAGCAAAAACCTCTCAAAAAAAATTATTATTATTTTTTAAAGAATTATTTTTTATTTAACTTTATTTATTTATTCACTCATTCCAATTTGACCTGGGGGGGGGGACCCGAGAGAGAGAGAGAGAGTGAGCGAACAAGAAAGCAAGCCTCCAGATCTAGGACTTGAAGCAGGGTTGGCCATGTGGGAGTCCAACGCCCTTAGCCACCATGCCACCTGCTGGTCCCTAATAAATAATTCTTTAAAAAAACTCTTTTGTTCCAGTTTATTGTTGACGATGATTTCTGTTTCCAGGGCCATCTTGTCTGTACAATAGTAACGAGAACCTGCAGAGACTCCTGGTGGTGACCCTGACGGCTTACCAGGCCAGGCATGTGCCTCTCACGTGTCCCACGTGGCCCTCATACGAGCACTTAGTTTGAGGACAGGACTTGAGGTGGAGGGGTTGGTTTGATAGCGCACAGTTGCATGGCTGCGGCGATGTGGACCGGCTTCCAGTCCAGACTGCTGCCAGCTTTGCTTGCTTGCCCACCATGCTGGCTACTTCAGCATGGTTTAGCGATAACGTCTTTCAAAAGGAGACGTTTGTGGGCCAGCAGGGGGTGTGGGGGTTAAGGCAGCTGAATCCCTCATGATCAAGTCTACAGTTCGAATCCTGGACCCTGCGGCTTAAAAACCACTTCTAGCTGGGAACCAGCAGTTAGCGTAATGGCTATGTCACTGGACTCCCACGTAGTCGACCGCGGTTCGTGTCCCGGACCCAGTGGCTTAAAACTCACGCCGGGCGCATGTGCGTGCATGCCCAAGATCCCGAGAGGAGAATGGAGGAGAAGGGATTGTGGCGTGACCATCCCCCCTGGGGGGTGATTTCTCGCTTTCTGTCTTACGTATGTGTGTGCCCAAGATCTGGAGAGGAGAATGGAGGAGAAGGGATTGTGGCATGGTCATCCCTACCCGGGGGGAAGGGGTGATCTCTCACTGTTTCACTCTGCAAGAGCATGCACCCTATCCTTAAAAAAGGAAGGAAAACATTTTTAAGAGTAGACTTGCTTTGTCAGTTGTGGGTTTCTGGCTTCCTGAAGGAGCTTCACACAAGGACTAAAATGCTTTGTTAAGACCAAGTTCTATTAACTTTTCAGACTTCAGATCTGGGGAGTTTGATATTTTATAATAATCTGTCATAGGCTTCTGTACTGTTGGTTTTGGAATTTGAGCTGTTCCCAGAATACTGATGCTGTGGGTTGATTAGTTCAGCCTGCACACAGGAAGAAATCATTAACTAGCATGTTCTTCAAGAATGACCGGGGGGACCAGCAGTTACTGTAATGGCTATGTCGCTGGACTCCCACGTAGTCGACCGCGGTTCAAGTCTGGACCCGGTGGCCTAAAACTCACGCCAGGTGCATGTGTGTGTGTGCCCAAGATCTCGAGAGGAGAATGGAGAAGAGATTGCAGTGTGACCATTCCCTCGGGAGGTGATTTCTTGCTTTCTGTCTCTCTGTCTATCTGATGAGTACACACCCAAAGCAAAAACCTCTCCAAAAAAAAAAAAAAAAAAGTGAACAAAGGCCACAA